TTACCCAAAAACAATTGAAGATGATGTGAGTATATTTCCTTCAGTTGCTCGAATTCCAGATGGAATGCTCAAGAAAGTTGATCCATCGAATCCAGTGTTAACGGCTTATTTACTCACAATTATCCCAAATGACGAAACTGGTGTTTTATTGCCAAGGAGTGATGAAGGTTCTTCGAAGAAATCTTGAAAGCCAAAGAAAGTTGATGAATCTACTCCTAAGAAACTTGTTCAAGAGGCAAAAGTCACTAAGTCACCCAAGAAAAAGATCGCAGTGGTGGTCAAAGTATCGAAGAAATCTAATAAGCCTGATGAGCCTGAATCTGTTGAGCCTACAAAGGAAATCGTTCCTTCGAAAACTGGTGTATTCAAGCGTCTCAAAAAGAAAGCTCACAGGTCACGAAATTCTCCTGAAAGGTCTTCTAGCTTTTCTCTTTCAATGGTTTGAAAGCCACATGTTACACGGAAAGGTCTCATTATTTGAGAAGTTCCTGTACCAGTTTCTCCATCCTCAAAGAAGCGAAGGGTTGAGGATGTTGCAAAGCATAGCCAGGTTTCATTCTCTTTCTTTTTTGATTGGATGATGGAAAAACCAGCAATATATTACATTAAATTGTTTATATTTATGTAATATTATAAATATTATTTAAATGTATTTAAAAGAAGACGAAGAAGAGAAAATTGATCCTTCAGGAAGATTCTATGGAAGAAGAAGTAGTTCCTTACTCACCAATGGGTAAAGTTTCATCTAAGAAGAAATATCCTGTCAAATCGAATTTCGAGAAGATAGGAATTTCAAGTAGCTCTGTGAAAACTTCGACAGTGGACACATCTACTCTTCTTGGTGACTCAAACAAAATATTGACGCCTAATCAGACTTCGGTCATACCACCCGAGGTTTCGCTAACCAAGTCATTTCACAAGGAGGTTCGAACCTCAGGCATCTCTACACACGTATCTGATACGAATGTAAATGTCAACATGGGTGAAGGAGTATCGGATAAATAAAACCCAATGTCTACTCAAGGTATTTTCGCAACCTCTATCATCACTACCAATACTTCTTTACCACCGTTTGTCACCACTGTTTCTACAACCACACATTCACCAACTTTTGATCAAGTTATGATTCAACCCATCACTTCTCTTTTCCCATCTCAATCCACTGATCCACCCAAACCTGTAAATGATGATGACACTGATGATGGAGGATTTTGAGGGTCATTTGCTGATCTCGAATTTGATCCTGAAGAAGAAGACATTCCAGATCACATGCTTATGTCAGGGAAACAGTTCAAGATCCTCAACAGAAAACTTAACTCTTTGTTACAGTCGCAAGCAGATGTTGGCAGTAAACACTCGGTATCTGGAATTGAAGTCGATGTCATGCTCAAGGCTCAAGAACTTCGACTTCAACATAAGCTGGATGTTTTGGATAAGAATAATGAACTTCGAGTCAAAGCTCAGTCTGATATGTTCAATAACGAAATCAAGGAGCTACGGATGGTTGCAAAGGATAGACATGTTATGTTTGTTAAGGATGTGAAGACTGTGAGGGAAGATGTCAATCGTAAACTTGAAGAATTGAAGGTTGATGTGGCCAAAGAGATAAATGAGTTGAATACAAATTATTCTTCTCTACTTTCGAAAGCGGATATTGTTGCAGGGGTTGTAACGAAAGTAGTGGAATGGTATCAATCTCTTCTTCCCAATTTTGATGAAAAAGAAACTGATGATATTAGTAGTTTTGGGAAACTTGATGCCATGCTTAGTGAACTCAAAGAGCTGGTTTCGAAATCTGGCCCATCATCTCTTTTAACTCCTGAGTTCTTTACTCGGAAGTTTAGTTTGTTTGAAACTACAATTCAGAAGGAGTTTGCCCCACTCTCTCAGCTGATAAATCTCTTACCAACAAATGGCCCACCTGTTGTCACAGGGGTGCAAGGGTGAGAAAGAAGAAACGTTGGTAAAGGAGAAGGTGCTTCTGGGATAACGAATGAAGAAGAAAAAGTTGTTGGTAAAGTGTTTACAACTCATGTTTCTACATCAAAACTGATAATATCGAAGGTTGATCCAGTGATAGCAACAGTCACAACTACAAAGCCAATTGCTAAAGGCATTGTAATTGGATTAACAGGTGATGGGAGTTCTTCAAAACCTAAACAAACTATAACAAATCAAGAAAGAGGAAAAGGGGTTGTAGTAGAGAAATCAAAGGAAGAAAGAAAAACTGAGATAGATGCAGAAATAGAGAAACAACGTCAGATTCAAAGTATTTTGAGGCTTCGTCAAAATGATCCTCCTACTTTGAACAAAGGAGATCCAAGAAACCTGCATAGTTATGAAATATCGAAGCTATAGTTGCTTACAATGAGTTGTATGACTTCGAAAAGAAGCCAATGAAAAGTTATGCTATCGAGAACTCTGACATGAATCAACTTGATTTTCCTGTCAATGAAATGATGCTTCTCACAGCTCAGTACAAGATTGTTGACCAATTCAAGGATAAAGATGACTTTATTTATATGAAGCTGAGATTTCATGCTGTGTTTGGAAACGATCAGGAGGAGGTATGGTCACTTGTGAAGATTGTTCGAGTGCTGAGTATAAGAAAAGATGTACTATTCGAGAATATGCTGCAAAATTTTTGATACCATGTTGTGAGGGCAAACAATGTTGCTCTTGACTTCTCGATTGCTGATTTTCCTCTGATGAATTTGAATGATCTGATTCAAGTTGCCAACATACTCAAAGACATGGATGCTTCGAAACTTCAGGGAAAAAGTAAAGAAGTACTACATCTGGGGTTAGGCCATATCAAGCTTTTCATAGACAATTATTATGATTGTCTAGCATTGACTGATGTTGAGTTAGCATTGTCAATGGGAAAAGAAATCACAGTTCCTCAATCAAGTGACGTTGAAAGATACACAACTGCTCATTATACAAACTTAATTGTGCGTATGAACAGTTGTAAGAAGAACAATGATGCGGATAAAGCTGAACTGAAGAAGGTCATGAATTGGTATGCAGAGATAAGAAGAACTTTGCATATGGTTGCTCAAGTTTTGATAACCTGATTTCGACAATGTTTACAATGTTGGATTAGTGTCTAAGTCCATAACTATTTTGGTATGTACTTGACCCGATTATGAGCATGGTCCTTTTGGGTTGCCTTCACCATAGCAATATGTAGGATGAATTAAGGAGAGAAAGGTTTAATTATGATTTATTAATATATTATAAGAATAATATATTAAAGGAGAAATCATAATGTTTAATTGATATTAGTCAAGAATTAATTTTGTGGCTAAAAGAGATTAATTAAACTTAAGGGACTTATTGTGTAATTATAAGATAATTACGTAATTGGGCTATGGATCACCTTGGAGTAATAGGTTGGACGAATTCTATGGGGAAGCCCATTAGAAATCGTCCAAGGCATGTTCCAGAAGGGGTCCATGGGCTGCTTAGAGCTTAAGCAGTCAAATTAGGGTTTCCTTGATAGATAACCCTAATAGCCTACCTATTTAAGGAGCCCCTAAGCCCCAAAAACGTGGATAACTAATCCTTTAGGGTTTCCAGCCGTTTTTGGTGCCTCCCCTCTATTCTCTCCTTCATCCAATTGCTTAGTGGTCTTTGTGACTCCATTAGAGGTGCAACACTTGAGGCACTAAGCTTTCTGAAGCCAATCAAAGCAAGGAATTGATTGTTATTACTATATAACAATCAAAGGTAAGATCTAAACCCTAATTTCAGTTATAGTTTATTAGATATAGGGTTTATGGCTTTTGATTATTAATTGCATGTTCATTAGACAAACTAGATCCAAAACTATTAGGGTTTGCATGTACACCATAGGATTGATGTATTGCTTGAAACCCATCATACAAAGGGGGAGATTGTAAGAGTCGAAGTATGTTGTAAGGCTTCGAAGGTTATTTGGTATTCGATAGTTTTGTAATGTTATTACAAAGGCAAGTTGTTTTGAAACTGTAATGATGTAGCCCTTTGTATTTTTTGTGTGCTTTCTTTTTCCTATAAATAGGGAAGGATACTTAGATTAGATAGAACTTTGGTTGTATTTCTTTCTGAATCTCTTTGTATCTGAAAGCATAATATGAGCTTAAACAAGATTATATTTACTCTCGGTGTTCTTACTTCATATCAATTTTGATCTCGTGTCATTACTCGATAAATCAAACCTGTACAGTTTTCAAGATTTGGTGTTCCTAAGGCTCTAATAAGTGATCGAGGCACCCACTTTGCAAATGATCAATTGGCTAAGGTGTTACAAAAATATGGTGTACACCATAGATTTTCAACATCATACCATCCACAAACAAGTGGGCAAACCGAACTTACAAACCGGACATTAAAACGAATATTGGAGCGATCAGTTGGAAGTAATAAAAAAGAGTGGACGGATAAGCACTTTGGGCATTTCGAACGACTTTTAAGACACCTATTGGTACTACACTATATAGGTTGGTTTATGGAAAGAGTTGCTACTTTCCGGTTGAAATCGAGCATAAAGCATTTTGGGCTTTGAAGATATGTAATTTTGGGACGGATAAGCCTCTCTCTCGACGTGTTCCCTTTCCCATGAAGAACATCCCTTTCTTCTACTCGATTTCTTGCAGTTTTCAACCAAAATGTATGATTTTTGTGTGATTTCCTTACTCTTAATCACTTCTTATGCTAGTATAGGGTATACATTTGCTATTTGAACATTTTTAGGCCCGAAATTAAGAACTTAGGGTTCTGATTTTTGCAAAAATCAGACCCAATTAATGATGTTTTTCATTTGACTTTGTTACTTTCCTACTTGAATTCATGCCTAGAACAAACCCTGAAGTTGTATTGAGTTGGTATAATGTTGAATATGGTCCGATTAAACCACAGAACTCGATAGTATGTCGACCACGATGACTAATCGTGGTCCTCGTCGTGGTGAAGTTTTTTAAGCCCAATCTTGTTTTGTTCTGATTCATTGCATACACATGGTTTCCTCTTGTGTTCTTTTTGGTTATTTTGCAGAAACAGCTAGCCGTGCACGACGCCAACAACCTGTGAGTCGCCCCGATTTTCCATGGTATTCTTTTCCTAGGACTGTTAGACCCGAGATTTACGCAAGATGGAATGTAAAACTTGACTGGATGAAGCAGCGAAAAGTCCATGTGCCTGCGGTTGTGGATTGGCACTGGATTGGACAAACCAGATTAATGGAGGGACTTGAGCCATACTTGGATAAAGCGTTCAATAGCATTCATGGGCAATTTGTTTGTATGGGGTGGAGACGGCTATTTGAAATCCAAGAAGTCGTGTACAAGGAGTTAGTAGTCGAGTTTCTAGCCACGGTTTCTTTTACACGGAAATATGGTATTTTTTCTGAGGTCAACCTTTCTTTTTGCCTTGGAGGAGAAATGCGTACTTTAAGCCTTGCTAATTTTGCTATTAGGACGAGAATTTATCTTCCAGCCGAGGCACATTCTGAAGCTTATCAACAATATATTGCTCGATACGTTTGGATTACCGAGGGGTTCAAAGCGGAAGCACATTGGAATAAAATTGTAAATGGTGCTTATGATAAGAGGACTACGCAAGAAAGTGACATTCGCTCTCCTATTCATCATCTGTTGCATCGCCTCATTACAAACACCATTAATCAGAGACAGGAGGGGGACAAGTGTCCGACTATAGACATCTTTTTCTTATGGGCTCTTACATCCCCCGATGTTTATGTAGACTTGCCACCATTTCTTTTGGTAGATTTTCTTGCGGTCCGTGCAGGCAAGGATAGATGAGGGTCTCCTCTTTATGGGGGTATGTTGATTACCCGACTAGCGCCTTCATTTGGAGTACTTGAAAAACGTGATGTCGTCCTCTTGACTGTGGAGTCCCAAAAGCCTTTCTCTACAATACTTTATAAAAGGGCAAATATTGTTGTTGATCATGGGATGGGCCACTTTGCCATTCCCGATGAAACTCCACGAGGCCAAGCTCCGAGGAGGGTAAGGCAAAGAGGAAGGGAGCCTGAAGAAAATTAACCACCAGTTGTACCCACCGATGACGAGCTACCCATGGATCCCTATAGCATTACAAGGAGGAGGTTTGATGATAATTTGGCAATGAGTGCCAACTACACCAACATGAGCCTAGACCATCTTATGGAGCAGATGCATGTAACCCGACCCATTCATTTTCCTCCTGCTTACCCATACGCACCGAGTTGGGAGGAATTGTGGAGAGAGCAACGCGGTGGAGTGGGCGGTAGTGGAGGAGGAGGTGATGATGGAGATGACGAAGAATGAGAGTTCTATCCTTTTGTTTTAGTGGATTGAAGACTTTGTTTATTTTATGTCTTTTTTTATGTGTTTGGTTTATTTGGTTTGGTTGTTTAGATACTTATTTCTTTTTGGTTTGGTTGTTTGACAATGTTTCCTACTTTCATTACTCCTCTTTGCTTTAGATTTCCAGGTGTAATTTGTAGAGTCCGAGAAAGGGTATTATTGGCAAAAGAAGGTGCTTTATAGAGAAAGATTAGAAACGACGACAGAAGCGAGCTTTGAGCAATTTTTAGGGTGTTTGTTGCGTCAATAAGTGAGGAGTTACGCCTAAAAGCTTCATACATTAGTTGGTGCCACAAATATTCCAGAAATCAATTGATTCCGGCACAGTAAATTGCCATTTCAAGACCACCACGTCGTGGTGTCGCAGTTAAAATAACAAAATCACAATATGTTTGGTCCACCATGAGGTGGTGAAATCCGCCACGAGGTGGTGCTTTTCGAGTCCGTTTTCATGTCTGATCCCGTACTTTCAGAAGTCTAGCACTTCAATAGTGGCGTTTCTAATTTTATATTCATTCTCATGGTATGGATGAGTTGTTCCCACACCATAGAATTTATTTTAACGCGATAAAGAAGTATTATCCTGGCTGCCACAACATGATTGACCTGTTCCTATGTCGTGGGGGAGTTGTTCATCGCATAAGGAGGCTGTCATTATACTCTCCAATTTCGTTTCACACTTTCAAGCAACCTGGCTTTTCTACAAATTTCCACACGATTCGAGATGCATCTTCTATCCCAGGGGAGTCTGTTCCTTTTTCTCCCTCTTTGTTCATTTTATGTATTGCATAACATGCAATGAGGGCATTGCATGAAATAAGTGTGGGGTAGAGGGTATATTATATTGCATAGGAAGAAGCATTTGATTTTTAAATTTTTGCATTGCTAGTTTCAAATTTTGCATTCATATAAACTTGAAATAATAGTTTAATTTAGGAAACTTAGCTAATTAAATTTTTTGCTAGTATAGTATGGGATGATCCGATGAGAACCCAAATGTTTACCTGATCCAACACATGTTACAGTGTATTTTTGGCTTCCCTTTTCCTAGTAAAAAGTCATGAGGTATGAAAGGTAATATCGTAGCTTGTATGGCATAATACGTTCTGCATCCTAAACCTGAAATCTATCCAGGAAAGCTTAGTTAGTCATTGCACTTAGACTAATACCTTAACCAATAAAGGTTGAAGCTAAGCTCCTTGCTTAAGCATGTAGGATTTGAGTGAAATAAAAGGAAAAAAAGTGAGATACATGTGAAGAAAAAACAAAAGATAGAGAAATTACCAAAAAGTTAAAGAGTTTTGGAGCAGTCAAATTATGAAATTCAAAGATCAAAATTCTGAACAAACCTAAAAAGTTGAAGATACCAAAAATCAAACAGAAAAGGTGGTGAATTCAAAGAAATCAAAGATCAAATATACAAAGAAAATGAAGAATTCAAAGAGCTCCATTATGGTATCAAAGTTGTAATTTCTAAAATTTATGTATGCTTAGTTGTTTATCCAAAAATACCTTGACGGTAAGGAAGATTTCTGAGGATTGATTCGGAAGGTTGCAAAAATGAGTGTCGTATAAGCTAAGGGGTGAAGGTTCATAAGGATTGTGAGTATTTAGGAGTGGGAAGTTCTTAGGAATTATAGACACAAATACATGCATTGAGGTCTTGGGATAATGGATGGGTTTGAAATGGATTGTTTTGTACTTTGCTGGTAAAATAAGAAATCAATTTGCTTGGGGGCAAGCAAAGAATAAGTGTAAGGTATTTTTATATGTGCATATTTATACACATAATTATACATCATAACTTAATATTTTAATTACTTTTATGCCCTTATTAGAACAAAAGATACTTTATTTGTTATGAATTGTGTTATAGGGATAAAAGACATGCTTTGGGCAAAAAGGAAGCTGGAAGCTGGACCTGGGAGTTGGGAGTTTCAATCAAAGCTTTAAAATGAAGAAAAAATACCCAACACGTCGTGGTGGATTTCCCACGGCGTGGTGAAGTGAAGAATCCCGATTTGCTTCGAAGACTTGTAGAACACGGGATAAACACGAAGACCACGACGTGGTGGCCTTACCACATCGTTGTGATATGAATTCGGGAAAACTATAAATAGGTCTCATTCTCCTCCGAATTGGGACCTTTGGCTCTGGAATTAATCATTACTTTTAAAGGCAAAGCACCTGTTCTTAGGCTTGGAAGCAAGGAATTCGATCATACCATTGGAAGGAGGAGCATTAAGGCAACAAATTTCTACACTTCAATTTTTCATTAGATTTTGCCATGTCAATTACTTTGAATTTCGATTTTATGTTCTTGTTTGCTTGAATCATGAGCTAAATTCTCATGACTTTCGTTTAGCTGAGGATGGATTGATTATTTATGGTTGAATTTATGGATTGGATTTAGCTATTTGGTTATTTGTTGATTTTGCTTATTAAAGAACCTCAAGTACTTTTGATAACTATTTTCTCTATTTATTGTTGAATTTGATTAAGTTAGTATGACTATCTTCTTAGTTAAATTTGAATCTTATGATCTTGTGAATTGCAAAATTGTAGGACTAGAGTTGTGAACAAAACATATGGTTAAGTAGAAAAGTGGGTAAAAAGGTATAGGAGCTAATATATGACGACAAATAATATATTGAATTGAATCAATAAACTAAAATTGATCAATCGATTATAAGTCTAATCAATTCGAACCAAACACTAGTCAACTTGTAAGTTTGTCCAATTGATCACCGAATAAATAAGCTAGTTTGCTAAAGGATTAAATTAGTGAATATTAATTTGGTCATCTTAGGAATCAGTAACCAAAGAAACTAAAATCCATTGCACTTCCATTAATCAACCATAATATCAAGTAAATCCGAAGTTAAACGAAAGTCTCTCACTCACCTTGGTACTCATCTTTGCTCTCTTGCATTAGTATAGTGTTAGCTTAATTAATTGATAATTAGTTAGTTTGGTAATTTAAGTATCTAGTCTTGCAAAACTAGGAAAACAAAACATTTTCTAAGTTCATCAGTAAGTAGTTAACAGTACAATAAAGTTAGTCAAAACACCGTTCCTTGAGTTCGACACTTGTTCTTACCATATCTATACTATTACACGATCAGGTACACTGCCTAGTGTGTTTAATAGTCTAGTGAAAGAAACATTAGTTTTATTAAATTGAAATTTGAACAAATATATATGCACATTAAATACATATCATGTTTTTGGCGCCGTTGCCGGAGAACGATGCAATTTTAGTTACTTTATAATCTGCTATTTTATTAGGATTATTTACTGTTTAGTTACTTTATAATCTGCTATTTTAGTTACTTTCACTTTTATTTAGGTTTTATTTCTTTTTGACTCACCACGACGTGGTAATTTTTACCACGCCGTGGCATCGTAAGAGTAGAACTTTATTTTTCGTTTTTATTCTTTTTAAGCGTTTCCTTTGTTTATTTGCAGTTCGTTTATGACCCACAGATCAAAGTCATCTTTGATTCCGAAACTTGAAGACCCAAAATCCGCTTTTCGCAAAAACAAAGACAAAACTGTAGGAGAATCTGATACACCAAAGAAGTCACCTTTTAAGAATCTCAAGTCGGTTTTTAGAAAGAAGAAGGGAAAAATGGGAGAATCCAGCAAAGCACTGAAGGACGAAGATACAAAGAGAAATCCAACGAAGGAAGACACCGAGTACGAAACAAAAAGGAAGGAAGCAAAACCGAATCTGAAACAGAAAATGAGCTAAACAAAGCACCCGACAACACTATGGCGAACATTGCCGACCTCTCGATGGAGGCGTACAAAAAGAGAGTTCGAGACGACACCGAACTAGGGGTTGTGCAACCCACCATACCCGCCACTGCCACATTTGAACTTAAGGGGCACATCCTTACTGCACTAAAGGAGATTCCTTTCACCAGAAAGGATCACGAAGATGCTTATAAGCATCTCGATGAAGTCAACGACATCGACGACTACTTTAACATTCCAAATGTCCCAAGAGAAACGATGTTGTTAAGGATGCTCCCTGTTACTTTCAAGGGAGCTGCAAAGGATTGGTTGAAGGCACTTCCACCAGGCGCGATAACGACATGGGCAAGGATGCGTGAAACGTTTTTGGAACAATTTTTCCCACCATCCAAGGTGGCTAAGCTCAAGAAGGCCATTGCCAATTTTAAACAAAAAATGGGGGAGTCGATGTATGAAGCATGGGAG